TGTATTAGTCAGGGTTCTCCAGAGAACAAAACCAATAGGATATATCTATATGGATATACAGATATATCCATATAGATATATAAAATTTTCTGGGAAAAATTTTCTGTATATCTATATAGATATACAGAGATATAGCCTGTTTGGTTCTATATATAGATATATAGATTATATCTTTATATGAGGAGAGTTATTATAGAAACTGACTCACATGATAATGGAGACTGAGGGTCCCAAGATCCGCCATCTATGATCTGGAAAACCGGGGAAGCCAGTGGTATAGTTCAGTCTGAGTCTTAAGGTTGGAGCACCAATGTCCGAGGAGCACCAATGTCCGAGGGCAGGAGAAGACGGATGTCCCAACTCAGGTAGAGAGAGCAAATTTCCCTTCCCTTACCTTCGTGTTCTATTTAGGCCCTCAAGAGATTGGATGATGCCCACCCGCATTGGTGAGGGTGATCTTCTTTACTCAGTCTGTAGATTCAAATGCTAACCTATTTCCAGAAAACCCTCACACACACATGCAGAATGCCCAGCTATCTGGGCATCCCTTAACCCAGTCAAGTTGACACATAAAATTAACCATCACAGTGTTGATGTTTTTATTGCTTTTTTTTTTTTGCGGTACGCGGGCCTCTCACCGTTGCGGCCTCTCCCGTTGCGGAGCACAGGCTCCGGACGCGCAGGCTCCGGACGCGCAGGCTCAGCGGCCATGGCTCACGGGCCCAGCCGCTCCGTGGCATGTGAGATCTTCCCGGACCGGAGCACGGACCCGTGTCCCCTGCATCGGCAGGCGGACTCTCAACCACTGCGCCACCAGGGAAGCCCCTTTATTGCTTTTAATATGTGAACATTAGCAGAGGAAGATGGATTTACTTTCAGAAAGCAAGCCAACTTGAATTCTGAAGTCCCTGTGTATCCATTTCCTACTGGCTGTCTAGATTCCTCAGAGAAACCCAGCCTTGCAGTGAGGTGATAGGTGCAGGTCATCTGGAAAAAAAAAAAGAGAAGCTTGAAGATTTCAAAGTATGCTATTAGAAAAAAAAATCCACTTCTACCAGCAGTTTGGAAGAATGTAAAATCTTTCACGGTGTCAAAGGTGCCCAGGGAGTGGCAGGGGCTGAACTTCTGAAGCCGTTTTCTCATCATTCAGACTGACAAATTTATTGCACTGGTGCTTCTAGCAATCAGTCAAGATTGAATCAGGTGCCAAGATAAGTTTTTCTTGCCAAATTGTTTTTTCCATTGCAATTAGCCTTTTTAAGGACCTCACCAAATAACAAACGTGTATTCAATTCCCACTCTCCGCCTCCAGTTAAAACTCAGCGGAGAAGTTGTATCAGTAATAATTGTTAAAGATAAAGTACCCCTCCCCCGCTCTATCACCAGTTTCTCCGCGTTTTCTTAGATATCCTTTAAACCCAGCACAGGATTTTAAAAGTTCTAATTTTTTCATAGTATGCGTTATATAATCCAAAAATAAATGATTTAAACTAAAAACAGTTCAGCTGTCTGGGTTGCCCTAATTGGGATTCTTTATAAAAGCTTTGAGGTTGTCCTATACCTATTTGTCCAATGCCTATTTGTCCTCTAAAAGCATTTTGAAGGTGAGCCCACTACTCCTCTCAGAAACCCGTTTCCTCTTTCTTCCTAGGCACCAGGACTACATCCTCCTGCCCCCCTTGTGATGAGCAGGACTGATTTCTAGGCAGAGGAAGGTACACAGGCAAAGCGCCAGGCCCATGAAACTCTCCCACGAGGGAGCCTCCAGGTTCTCTCCTTCTCAGCCTTCTGGAGATGCCCATGCCTGGCACCCTTGGCGGCCTTGAATTGCAAATGGCAGAGCCTCTCCAGGCTGGTTCCTGAAGGAACAGAGACTGACCTTCATCCCCTCTTCCCACACTCAGAAACTACCTTAGGTTGTTCACTGAGAAAAAATAAACTGCTCTGCTGTTTGAGCCATTGTAACATGGGGTTTGATTTGTTTTGGCAGTTCACTTACCCTGACCCATTGCCTTTCCTTCACCTGGCTACCTTTCCTCTTCCACCACGTTACATGCTCCAGCCAAGCCTTCCCGTGGCATCTGACCATGGAACTTCCCACACTTCCTCCGTAGTGTTTATCTGTCTGCCTTCCCAGATAGTCTCCCACGCTCCATGAGGGCATGGACCACATCTCCCTCACTCACCAGTATATCCCCAGTTTCTAATGTAGTGCTTGGCACATAGTAGGTCCTTAATAAATATTTGTTACATTAACAAAATGTCAGATGCATGGACTTTGCCTTTCTCTATGCTGGGGATAGCAAACTTGGACGCTGAGTAATCTTTAAGAATAATGATAATGGGGTGAGAAAAACTTGTGCAGCAATAATGTTATTCCTGAATATTTCTAGAAACCTGACCTCTGGTGGAGGACTGCCGGTCTTCATTGCAAATCTCCTTTATGTTGACAATGGTATGTGTTTCTCCATGAACAATGAACAGAAAATATAGGAGTTGGTTTTTTTTTAAACTAACTTTGTTTATTATTATTTATTATTGTTATTTAATGGCATTCTGTTTCATAAAAACAAGTATACTAGAATGAAGATGTCTGGAAACTCTTCAGTCTTTCTCCCATCGAGAGGTAGAGTATAATTCCCCTGTCTTTGAATCTGGGCTTGCTTCAACAATAGAATGCTGTGGAAGTTACATTCTGGGTTTTCAGGTGCTAAGTCATAAGACATAGCTTATGCTTTGTTTCTTGGAATACTTGCTTTTGGAGCCCTGAGCCTCTATGTAAGACTTCCCCTAGATCACCATGATAAAGAGGCCACATGTAAGGGGTGTGGTTGATAACCCCAGCTGAGCACTGCCTTCCAGCCCTCCCTGCCAAGGCATTAGACATGTGGGTGAAGTCATCCATCCTGGACCTTCCAGACTAGGCTATTCACTAGCTAAATTCTGCTGAGTGATCCCAGTCAATGCCACATGATACTGAAGAATCATTGAGCTGAGCCCTGACCCACAAAATCGTGAGATGTAATAAAATGATGGTTGTTTCAAGCCACTAAGTTTTAGGGTAGTTTGTAGTGCAGTAAATAATAACTGAACAACAAATTACTTTATTTCCTTATTTGTCCAATCATATTTGCCTTGAGACTTTAAATTTGGACAATTTTGGTTGATCATTTTCTGGCCAACAAGTAAATTTCAGTTCTTCTTCTGTCTGTATCTGTACCTTGCAATTGAATAAGAGATGGTTGGGAAGTTGAAAGAAATGGGCTGTTAATTCTGGGCCATATTTAACCTTCCTTAAGCTTTTTATTTTAGAGTGGTAATTGGTAATATGCATTGGCAATGCAGTCTCCAGTTGCAAAAAAAAACCACTTTTGGGATTCAGGGAAGTAAATTAAATTGGTTTAAAAATATATATCAATGTATGCCAAATTTTATTTTAAGTTATGTTAGTAGCAATGTTCCTCTGGGAAGCAGTCAATATGGTAAAAGACAAAATTATACATAGGTGAAAATTTTTAGGTTCAACTTAAAAGTGACATTAACCAAAAAGTAATTAGTGAAGGAAAGGAAATGAACTTTTATTTAGGGTCTACAATGTGCTGAGTGCTTTTCGTACATCTTCTCTTTTAATCTCGCTATAGGCAATTTTTAAATGGGAAGTTAAAAATTTGCCCAAGGTCACTCAGCTGGTAAGTGGTAGGCTGGATTTGAACCAAATCTAACCGATGCAAAGCCTGTGTCTTATTTCTCCACCATGGAGGCATCTAAAAGAGTGCAGGTCTCTTCAAAAGTGGCTCCCAAAGAACTTGGAAGTAGTTAACAGCAGCCATGCAGAGTCGGTTGGTTAGCATGTTCATTTATGAAATACACCCCAGTAATAAATTGTATCAATTTTTGCTGACCTTTACAAGTTGCTTATTCAGTAAGGGTCTGGGAAAAGAGTAGGAAATACACAACACCCCATAGATGTGTTTCAGCGGGTTCTATAAGTTGAAACATAGTTCACAGAGGGAAACTTATTAAAAGCAAACACTTCCATCACTATGACCACCCCAATTTATCTCCTGCAGAATTCTGTCATAGCTCCATTTTCCTAAAGGGATACATCTACAATGGGGTGAGAGCGTTGGGGTTGGACGTTATCTTTTTATTCATTTTTTTTCCTAGTTGGGCTAAAATTCCCATCTTGCATTTGTCTGTCTGAAGTCTTCAAATACTTTAATAATAATAATAGTAATAATAATAAGCACAACTGTTCAAAAAATACAACAGAAAAGTTGAGACTCTCAGTTTGGTCTGTGCCAGAATCCTGATCCCACCCATCAGGGACAGGAAAAGTAGCCGTGGGGAAGGGGACGGAGGGAACTTTCCTAAACACATTTCATCCCTCTCTCCCAACACATATATGGTCAAACACTGCTTGGTGGGGTAACTCTTATTGTGCTGCTTATTTTCTGAAGAGTCTGTACCGTCCGGTGGTTTTAAAGCTCAGATGGTGTTGTTACCGAACCAAACTTGGGTCCGCTCACTCTCACGCAGTAAAGGCAAACTACTGACATTGGGTTGCAGTGAAGGAAAGTGCAGTATTTATTTCAGGGCACAAAGCAAGGAGTTCAGGACGGCTAGTGCTCAAAACACCCGAGCTCCCCAATGGGTTTCACCAAAGCATTTTTAAAGGCCGGGGGAGGGAGGGGTGTTCCAGGGTATGTGATGGTGAGGTAACAGGGTGGCGTCACAGGGGTTAACGTTATCAGTCCTTAGCTGCCAGCAGGTCTGGTCATGGTCATCAAGTAGTTAATTCCTTCCATTTGGTGATGGTTTAAGCACCTGTAAAACAACTCAGGAAATGTGCATCAGGTACTATCCCTTCAGCACTGCTGAGAGGAGCCACGGCAGAGGATATGGGGTAAGGGGGTCTGTTCCTGGAAGGCCCCATAGGATCCTGCTCTGTTACGGTGTCAAATGATCTGGGTTTAAATCTTGGCTCTATCTCTTTTCAGGTGGGTGGGCTTCCCATCTTTCGCCTCAGTTTACTCATTTGTAACTTGGACCTCCAACCAGTTGCTGTGAGAAGTAAATGAATCCATCAACGCACGTAAGGTACTTAGAACCACGCTTGGTGACAGTAATTAGAAAGTGCTACATAAATATTAGCTGCTGATCTTATACTATCTTCCTCAAGCATTTAATTGAAAGCCAGTGGACAGGACAAAAAAATAAAGCAAAGAATTTGAAGCCATTGAGTAACTGTTGCACCAAAAATCTCAGGTACTCTCAGTTACAAGTGGTTACCTATCTAGACAGAGGGCTGGGCTTATTGGTGGGAACTTCATGAACATGCTGCTTATAAGGATGTTCTTGAGGTTAATGGCCAAGGTCAGGAGACAATAATCTCTGTAACAAGTCAGAGTCATCACTGTATAATTTTGAGGACAGAGAATCAATAGCATAGGTTAATAAGTCTCTTGACAGGGCCAAGACAGTGATTCTCTTTTTCTTCCACTGTCTAATCTCTTTGGCCAGGCAGGCCACCAAAAGGGGACCACCTCTCTCTCTTGACCATTTCAAGTCACTCATTCATCCAACAACTATTAATTAATTGTTCACCTACCCTGTGCCAAGTACTGCAAAGATGAGTGAGACCCCTACAGTCTAGAAACAAGAGGATGCATTAATTAACTCAACAATTATTTACTATCAACCATCCATCGGGTACTATGCTAGTTGCGGGGTATAGTGAACAAAACACACAAAAGCTCCTCCCCTCGTGGAGCTGACATTCTAGGGAAGAGAAACATAATGCATGAAGTAAGTATGATGTGTATAGTCTATCAGATGGTGATTAGTACAAAGGAGATAAAGCAGGCCAGGAACTAGGGCGTGCTCCTGTAGGGTGGTGGACTGGCTGTACTTTTAATTTGAATAGTCAGGGACAGATTTACTGACAAAAATATAAGGAGGTGGGGTAACTAACCTAAGGATATGCCCAGAGCATATGGGGACCTCGTTCCAGGCCCTGTGGAAGAACTCAATACTCCTGAGCGCAAGTTCTCGGAGCTCACTCCTCCGGCCGCCCCGCCCGGCTCCAGGGGGCGGGGACGAAGCAAAGGTCCCGCCGCCCGCCCTCTTCCCTCGCGATCCCCCGCCCCGGCCCAACCCGCGGGGCTTCTAAGACTCGGCAGGCTGCGGGCGCGGGGCGCGAGGCTGCAGGGAGGTAAGTGCGGGCGGCTCGGCTCGGCTCCGGCCCTTACGTGACCTTGGGGAGCCGAGCCCGCGCGGCTCTTTCTCTAGGGGACACCCTTCCGTCTGCCCCTTAGTCCTATGGGGTTCGAATGGGTGGGCTGCCCGCAGCTGGACCGCCGGCCCCATGGCGTCCCCTCCTCGTCCGCGTTCCCAGCCCACGTCTCTGTCCCCCGACCCCTTTCCCATCCCCTCTCCTCCCCCTTCCCACTGCTACTTCCTTCCCTGGGTGTTGCTAGGGCAGCGGGTACTTACTGTCCGCCCCCAATCCTTTGCGCCCTCTCCCCACTCTTTGTCTTCCGGTTTCTCCTCCGGGTGCGCTAGGCTGTCCGTGGCCGGGCGCTGGGGCGCTTATGTGCGTTGAAGGAAGGCGGGGGCCGGCGTGAAATTCACTCTCTGGGCTGGACCAAGTCCCCATCCCTGGGGTGCTGGATACTGGGCCCCGAGCTTGTGGAGGAGGCCAAGCCCCTCGGGAGTTCTCGGCCTGGGTGGGATGACATCACCGCTGCTCACGGGGCCTCAACGTGCGGATCCCAGACCCCTTCCCATCTGCACCTGACCGGGAAAGACCAGAGGGCGGTCTTAGAAAGGCGCTGGTTGTACAATGTTCAAAAAAACCTCTCATTGAGAGTCTACTCTGTTCAGAGGACTGTTCAGAGGGGCGGATGCCTTGGGATCGACGATGCCTTTAAGAGATAGTCTAGTTGGAGTGGAATGAAATATTGCTGTTAAGTCAGAGAAACAGCTGAATAAATGTAGAGTAAATTAATTGTTTTCCAAAGCCACCGCCAATGAACTCCTCTCCTAAAGGAAAACAGCCGGGAGAAGATGAGCCCAGCCAATTAGAGAGATCTGAGAAATGCGGCCCAAGCTCCCAGCTGCTGCCCTTAGCTCGCCTGCTTTAGGAGGAAGCCTTATGGTTTCCAAAAGTGCTTTTCTTTTTGTTCTTTTTGAACCCTCAAGGGGACCAGAGGGTTCTTTATTCTTAATCAGTCTCCTGTTATCCACTCCACTTCCTAAAAGCCTTTGCTGCCTTTGCCTTGACTCCTTTTTCAATCTCATGCCTGTCTTGCGATCATCATTTGTTTTTTATTTCGGATTTTTATTTTAGAAAGAAATGATGGAGTACCTTGTCTTTAATTTGCCTTCTTATTATAAAAATGAAGGTACTGGGCTGTAAGCACCGGAAGATACAGAAGGATGACACCGCTGTTTTAATTTAATAGACTCAATTTCACTTTATTTAGAAAACTAAATTCAAAATGTGCTGAAGTTGTTAGGAGACAAGTACTAACAGCGGTGTCTCATTTTCCTAGATAATGAAGAAATAATGTGTTTTATAGCCATGGTTTTTGCTTCCGCCATAACTGAAGTTTACCCTTTTGAGCACCTTTTCTTACTTTACAAAACAAATTATATGTAGTCCACATTCAAACAAACAAACAAAACCTGACTGCGGAGTTGGCAGAGCAGAGTGGTCCAGGGCTCCGGCTTGGGAGGCAGGTGGACCTTGTTTGGAATCTGGGCTCAGCACTATTTCTCTACTTGACATTCAGTGACTTCTAGTCAAAGACCTCTGGGAACACAGGTGGAGTTGAAGGGGATGGATCATTGCTCGCTGAATGAGGAAGACTTCGCTCCATGGGGAACCCTGGGCGTCTCTGTAACTGAGTGCAGAAAGGAGTTACAGGATTTGGGCTTGTAGGCGATTTGGGGGAGAGTTTAAGGAGATAGGACTTTGCTCTGAATTGGATGCTGTCAGAAAGTGAGGGAAATTCTCTGGAGTATCTTCATAAATTTTATCTGAAAGGAGTGAGGCTAAAACTGTGGTTGGCTGAGAACCGCAGTCACTTGTGCTTAGAGTTGGTTGGTGGGGATGGTGGGAGTGTTTGGTCATTTTTGTGGTTTAGACAGTGTTCGTATTTTGTCTGTGGTCAGATAAGACTATGAGAGGTCTTGTTTTCGTCTTGATTTATCATGACCACAGAGTGCCCTTGCCAGATGTCGACGTTCTGTGATGTTCACGTTCACCAGGAAAACGCCAGGCCAGTGCCAGCAACCCCAGGGCTAGCTGATGGTACCAGGCAGGCTCTTGGATGTCAGGGCTGCTGCTTTTTTTCTTGTTATCTTGGGCAAGTTACTTAACATCTTTGAACTTTAGTTTCCACATCTGTAAAATATGGACGATGCCTACTCAGGGTTGTCGTGGAGATTAAATGAGGAAATGTGTAGAAAGGACTTAGCCCAGTACCTGGCACACAGCAGGTACTCGATATACAGTTGCCCCCCGCGCCCCCCTCCGCCCTTTTAGTGGATTTCGATGTTCAGGTTTCTTTCCTAGAACTATTCACGCAGAGGCCCAGTGATCAACTAGAGCTGCTCCAGAGAAGAATCCTGAATTGGGTATTAGGAAGAAGCGGGTCCTTTGCAACTCAAAGATGTGATCATTCCATCACTCTGAATCAGTCTTGAGGATGGACACGTGTGATTGTAGTATCTTCTTATGCTATCATTACCTTGGCAACTATTTTTACGAGTCTTTGTTCCCAGGAGCCAGTGGTCCCAGTTGGCCATGTACTCTTCTGACTTTGTGTTGTTGTCTTGGTTTCTTGGTCTCTTCCTCGTATGTCTTTTGTCCAGGAGTCTCATTCGAGCTTGTATATCCTTACCACCTTCACTTTGGCTCTCTGGGTTCTAATCTGCTTTGAGCTGGGAAGCCACATAGGCAGACAAGTAGGAACTGTTGGCTAATGGAATTCCTCAGGCCCCAAATGAGAGAGCCCAGGATCTTCGCTACAGCTGTGAACTGCAGTGGGGTTTTAGGCCATGAGCATTTTGAGCTTGGTCTCTCATGAGGCCATTTTCATCTCCTTCCAGGTTGGAGCATTTTGGAAATTTGAATCCGAAGTCTAACTTCTACTTGAGACATTATTGTGCTTGTCTGTGCCAGGCAACATGGGTTCTAGATCCTTTGGTGGGCCCTAGATCCTTTGGTGGGCCCTGGGCATATTATTTAATCTTTCCTGGCTGGACAGTTACTTTAGATGTTTGAGAATCAGACAACAGCTTATTGGCTCCCAATGCCACATGATAAACTGTATTGTATTAAATTTCTAGCATATATTGTACTTTGGCTCATCTCTTTTTCCATTGAAGGATCCTAGGAATAAAGAAAAAAAAATAGAAAATGGGCTAAAGACACAGTAAGGAAAAAGATATATAAAAAGGCTTTAAACAAAAGATGCTTGATTTCACTTGCATTAAAATAACATGACTTAAAACTATACTGAGGGACTTCCCTGGGTGGCGCAGTGGTTAAGAATCCACCTGCCAATGCAGGGGACACGGGTTCGAGCCCTGGTCCGGGAAGATCCCACATGCTGCGAAGCAACTAAGCCTGTGCTCCACAACTACTAAGCCTGTGCTCCACAACTACTGAGCCTGTGCTCTAGAGCCCGCGAGCCACAACTGCTGAAGCCTGAGTGCTTAGAGCCCATGCTCCGCAATAAGAGAAGACACCGCAACGAGAAGCCTGCGCACTGCAACGAAGACCCAGTGCAGCCAAAAATAAATAATTAATTAATTAAAAAAGAAAACAAAAGATATTGGCAACTGATCTACACGACCCCACCAAAAAAAACAGAAAACTACACTGAGATACCATTTCTCACCTATGAGGCTGAAAAAAAATACAAAAGATTGATACCATACTCTGTTGCTGAGACTGATACTTTCATACCTTATTGGTGAGACTGCAAGATGGTACAACCTGTAAATTATAGATGCATTTACCATTGGTCTAGCGATCCCTCTTCTAGAAATCTCCCTTCAGATACTCTTGCCCATGTAGGAAGAAGACATACATTTAGCAGTATTTAGTGTGGCTTTTTTTTTTTTTTTTTCTTTTTGCGGTACGCGGGCCTCTCACTGTTGTGGCCTCTCCCGTTGCGGAGCACGGGCTCCAGACGCGCAGGCTCAGCGGCCATGGCTCACGGGCCCAGCCGCTCCGCGGCATGTGGGATCTTCCCGGACCGGGGCACGAACCCGTGTCCCCTGCATCGGCAGGCGGACTCTCAACCAGTGCGCCACCAGGGAAGCCCTAGTGTGGCATTTTGAAAATAATAAAAACTTAGAAATTACCCAAGTGACCAGCAATACTGAACAGGTTAAATAAGCAATGGTACATCCATGTGAAGGGGTACTGTGAAGCTGTATTATGCAGAAGGTTCTAACCGTGGAAAGATCTCCAGGATATATTTGCCGCATGACGAAGTAAGATGCAGAAAGTGTGTACACTTCTTTTTACTTACATTTGTATAAAGAAACATGAAGGCGATATACCTGAAGGGAAGAGGGGTGAAAAGGTAGATGGGACCTGGGTAGAAATGGGATTTCTCAGTGTATATCTTTTTCCATAGTTTAGATATTAGAGCCAAGTAAATACATTGTGTTTTCAAACATAGTAATTAAAAAAAAAAGCCTCTAACTTTACCTTCACAAGGAGAATATTCTGAGTTCTTTGATTGAATAAACCTGATTCTTATAAAAACATCCAAAGCAATAGCCACTTCCATTAACTCTTTTTAAAGCAGCCTACACTGTCAAGAGGCCGTATTTGATGCTAGATTGAAAAAGAAAACTAAAAATTAATTTAGGAGTTCTCTTTCTTCATCCTCTAATCCCTGTGGGGAGGATTGGTGTCATTACTAAGGCTTTGTTGCCCATAGCGGATGGGTTTGGGTTTTGTTATTTTATTATTTTTTAATGGCAAGTCCAATTTGGCTTCTTTAGAAACCTGTTTAATCTGAAGGCAAGTTAGTGAACTCCCTTCCAGGTTGTCCCAGGAAAGAATAAAAAGCATAAAAATGGAGATCCTGATAACCATGGTGAACTGAGGCAGGTTCTGCTGTGGCTCTTCTCTTGGACAAGCAGGGTAAAATCCCCCAGGTCATTGGGAGACCTTATTTTGTTAAAAGTTCTTTCCTTGTGTTTGACAAAATAAACCTTACACCTTATCCTAGATGCACTCCCAGCAGTTACTGTCTTACTGTCCCCAGCAGTCTGCTTCCTTCTGGATCCCTCTCTCGGTAGCTGGCATCTCCATCTCATCAGCCGACCCAGGCCTGAGCTAGCCGCAGGCCAAGCTGGGGAGCCTCCTCTCTTTCATCAGCACCTTCACATCCAACCAGACTTCTCGGGAAACCACCAAACCAGTATCTTTTCTACCCTTACACCTCCAACGTAGTTCAGCATCATTGTGTGTTGTCTAATTGTTCCCTGCCAGCTGGTTTCCTATTTTGCTTCCAGAAGATCTTTCTAAGTGACTGCTCTGATCACACTGTTCCCTATATAACCCCTCCAGTGGCTCCTGCTGCCCTGGTTCCCCCAGAGGAGGCACAGGCCTTCAGAACCAGGACTGAGCCTTCTTCATCCTTATGCTTTGCGCTTCCCCTCTCTAGAACCTGGCAGTGCAGTGCAGGAACCTGTCCCAGAGCTTGCAAAGCAACTCTCGGTCTGTCAAAGAATTGGTGATGGGCATATCTACACAAAACCATGTCTCCTGGACATCACGACCTTGCTGGTCCCAAATATTGCCTGTACACCGATTCAGTAAATATTTTGATAAATGAATAAATGAGTGCTCTGATATAAGAACAGGGTTAGTTGGCTATACAATAATATAAGAAAAGGTACTTTAGAGAAGAACTAGTGATAGTAAAACATTTCTTTTTATGCCCTTGAGAAGATTCATGGTAAAGAAAAGTGGGTTGAACTAATTAACATCTAAGATTATCTCAGCTCTTAAATTCTATGATTTTGCTATCTATGTGACTGTCAGACACCAGGATACAAATATAAATAAAACACAATTCTTGTGCATTAGACATTTTAACTGTTGACTATAGTTTTAAAAAAATCTTTCAATTTGTGCTTTTTTTAATAATGATTATGTGTGTGTGTGCGCGCATATGTATATATTCATATGCATATGTACAGCTATGAGCAGTTTATATATTGTGAATTGTTTATAACCTTTGCCCATGTATCTACTACAGTATTTGTAAAACTTGATGTGGTTTGTAAAAGATTTTTGTATATGTTAAATGTTCTGGTTCTTTGTTTTATAAGTATTTTCTCAGTTTGCCATTTGTCTTCCTAAAGGCCCTTTCTCATCCTACAATTGTACAAATGTTTGTTTGCATTTTTTTCTAGTACTTTATGGTTTCACTTTTCCTTAAAAACACTCGAATCCACTGAGGATTTGCTCTTGTGTATGGCATGAGTTAGGGATCTGACTTTATTTTTTTCCAGATGTTTAGCCAGTTGTTCTGACACCATTTATTGAATAGTATATACATCTTCCACTGAATGTAGTACTTTTATATCTTCCAACATGTCTCTTTCTTTTTTTTCCCTCCGGCTGAAGAGTGACTGGGTTTTCCTTTCTGGAGTTAAAAGTAATAGCTAGTCACTTCCCATTTATGAACAGAGGACATCACACAGTGTAGAGAAAAAGCACATTTGACCCTTCAAAGAAGTGGTCATAAGTAAGATACAAATTGGGGTAGTCAGTACGCTGTTCAACAGACATTCCCAGTTCTCTGCCTTCCAAATACTTGGTAGGATTGTATTTCCTGACCACTGTGGTTGGCTGAGGCCATCTGCCTAGTTCTGACTAATTGTGAGTGGACGTGACGTGCGTCAGTTTTGGGCCAGAGCATTTCATTGCTGGTGTGAGACTTTTCAGAACTCTCTTTCCTGTTGGCTGATGACATGATATTCAAGATGGCGCTGCCCCTTCAGCGTGGATCGCTGAATGGCTACGAGGAGCAAAGCCTTCCTGTCCTGTTTTGGACGTGTAGTGTGAGCACTAAATAAACCTTACTGGTTATACGCCACCGAGATTTGGAGGCATAACCTAGCCTATCCTGATTTATATACGTATTCTCTTTCAGTATTTCAATTTGATTTTTTAGACATCAACTGAACTCAAACTAGAGGCTTCTCTAAGGAGAAGGTATTCTTTCATGTATACTGGTTGATACTAGGGAGAAATAAGGTAATTTTAGAAAAAAGTCACGAAATGACAACTTCCTGTATATTTTTTTTCAGGTAATCTGGAGCTCTCAAAATGTTTGCCAAAGCAACAAGGAATTTTCTTAGAGAAGTTGATGCTGGAGGTAACCTGATCACAGTATCAAATTTGAATGACTCTGATAAATTACAACTTCTAAGTCTGGTGACCAAAAAAAAGAGATTGTGGTGCTGGCAGAGACCCAAATACCAGTTTTTATCTGTCACCCTGGGAGATGTACTCACAGAAGACCAGTTTCTGAGTCCAGGTATGTTTCTTTGGTTATATTCTACAATTAGTTCCAGAACAGGAGATGATTCTTCTTTTAGACACATGTTGTCTTGAGTGACTGTAAGGCGATACCTTATAATCAGTTCTCCTGTTTCTTTGCCTACTGTTTTAAAAACGTATCCTTCCGTAAAATGAGAAAATTCTGCAGGCCTGACACGAAAAGTTATAGCTTAATATTTAAGAAATAATATTGCAGTTTTGGTATAGAAGTACAACATGCTCATTTGTAGATGTTGTGGCCCCTCAGCATGAGTGGGTTGGTTTTACCTCCCCAAATTTGGTTTGGTGTTGAGGTTGATGATGCCACGTATCCATCAGGAGGGTGCGAAAAGTTTTATTACTCACATAACGAAGCTTTTCTGGGGACAGCATGGCAGGTTCCCAAGGCTGGTCCAAAAATAGCTAGAGAGAAGGAGGGGATAAGAGATGGGCTCAGTTTCTCTAATGAGTAGGAGGTGTGGTGAGGGTTCTGCATGTAGGCTGGGGCTTACAACTTTTCAATTTCCTGCCGGTGCCAATGGAGGGACCACCTGGGGTTTCTTACCCTGTTGCCCAGATGTGTAACAGAAAGAAAAGAGGGGGTGGTGGGCTTGAAACATAAAGCATCAAAAATGGGGAGTTTGACCCATTATTACAGAGAAGCATGTATAAAATATAGAAAGGCAAGAAAACAAATGAACAAAAATTCCTCCATCAAGTGTTAATTCCCATTAACACTTGGATTGTAACTTTTCTTTCTCTGCATCTAATTTTTTAAAAACAAAATTGGAAACATACTACATATAATTTTTATATACTCCTCATTTTTTTTTTTTTTTTGTGGTACGCGGGCCTCTCACTGTTCTGGTGGTCTCTCCCGTTGCGGAGCACAGGCTCCGGACGCGCAGGCTCAGCGGCCATGGCTCACGGGCCCAGCCGCTCCGTGGCATGTGGGATCTTCCCGGACCGGGGCACGAACCCGCGTCCCCTGCATCGGCAGGCGGACTCTCAACACTGTGCCACCAGGGAAGCCCCTCATTTATTTTTTCTTTCTTTTTTTTTTTTTTTAAATTAATTAATTTATTTTGGGCTGTGTTGGGTCTTCGTTTCTGTGCGAGGGCTTTCTCTAGTTGTGGCAGAAGGGGGCCACTCTTCATCGCGGTGCGCGGGCCTCTCACTATTGGGGCCTCTCTTCTTGCGGAGCACAGGCTCCAGACGCGCAGGCTCAGTAGTTGTGGCTCACGGGCCCAGTTGCTCCGCGGCATGTGGGATCTTCCCAGACCAGGGCTCGAACCCGTGTTCCCTGCATTAGCAGGCAGATTCTCAACCACTGCGCCGCCAGGGAAGCCCCTCATTTATTTTTTATTTAACGTTATATGTTTTCCTTCATGGGTTTAACTATTTCTTAGTACTGTTTTCAACAGTGTGTATGCACCCTAATTTGCTTAACCAGTCCAATTTAGTGCTTCACAAATAAGGCTGCAATGAATATTGTTATCTGAATTTTCGTTGTTGTTTTTCCTTTAAGCAATTGCTTTAGCATAGATGCTTTTTTTAATTAAAATTTTGCTATTTTTTTAATGTCTTTATTGGAGTATAATTGCTTTACAATGTTGTGTTAGTTTCTGCTGTATAACAAAGTGAATCAGCTATACGTATACATATATCCCCATAGCACCTCCCTCTTGCGTCTCCCTACCACCCTCCCTATCCCACCCCTGTAGGTGGTCACAAAGCACTGAGCTGATCTCCCTGTGCTATGTGGCTGCTTCCCACTAGCTATCTATTTTACATTTGGTAGTGTATATGTGTCCATGCCACTCTCTAACTTTGTCCCAGCTTACCCTTCCCCCTCCCCATGTCCTCATGTCCATTCTCTAGGTCTGTATCTTTATTCCTGTCCTGCCTCTAGGTTCATCAGAACCACTTTTTTTTTTTTTTTAGATTCCATATATATGTGTTAGCATACGGTATTTGTTTTTCTCTTTCTGATTTCACTCTGTATGACAGACTCTGGGTCCGTCTACCTCACTACAAATAACTCCATTTCATTTCTTTTTATGGCTGAGTAATATTCCATTGTATATATGTGCCACATCTTCTTTATCCATTCATCTGTCAGTGGACACTTAGGTTGCTTCCATGTCCCAGCTATTGTAAATAGTGCTGCAGTGAACATTGTGGTACATGTCTTTTTTTTTTTTTGTGGTATGTGGGCCTCTCACTGTCGTGGCCTCTCCTGTTGTGGAGCACAGGCTCCGGACGCGCAGGCTCAGCGGCCATGGCTCACGGGCCCAGCCGCTTCACGGCATGTGGGATCTTCCCGGACCGGGCCACAAACCTGTGTCCCCTGCATTGGCAGGTGGACTCTCATCCACTGTGCCACCAGGGAAGCCCCATGTCTCTTTTTGAATTATGGTTTTCTCAGGGTATATGCCGAGTAGTGGGATTGCTGGATCATATGGTAGTTCTATTTTTAGTTTTTGAAGGAACCTCCATACAGTTCTCCATAGTGGCTGTATCAGTTTATATTCCCACCAACAGTGCAAGAGGGTTCCTTTGTCTCCACACCCTCTCCAGCATTTATTGTTTGTAGATTTTTATTTGTTTTTAGATTGAGAGTGTTTTATTATTTATTTATTTATTTATTTATGGCTGTGTTGGGTCTTTGTTTCTGTGCGCGGGCTTTTCTCTAGTTGTGGCTAGTGGGGGCTACCCTTCATTGCGGTGTGTGGGCTGCTCATTGTGGTGGCTTCTCCATTTTTTTTTTTTTTTTTTTTTTTTGTGTATTGGGGCCCTTTTTGTTTTGGACGATCCCACTGCGGAGCACAGGCTCTGGACGCGCAGGCTCAGCAGCCATGGCTCATGGGCCCAGCCGCTCTGCGGCATGTGGGATCTTCCCAGACCAGGGCACGAACCCATGTCCCCTGCATCAGCAGGCGGACTCTCAACCACTGCACCACCAGGGAAGCCCTATTCGGGGTCTTTTGTGTCTCCATACAAATTTTAAGATTTTGTGCTCTAATTCCGTAAAAGATGCTGTTGGTAATTTGTTAGGGATTGCATTGAATCTGTAGATTACTTTGGGTAGTATAGTCATTTTCACAATATTGATTCTTCCAATCCAAGAACATGGTTTATCTCTCCACGTGTTGGTTTCTTTCATCAGTGTTTTGTAGTTTTCTGCATACTGGTCTTTTGTCTCCCTAGGTAGGTTTATTCCTAGGTGTTTTATTCTTTTTGTTGCAATGGTAAATGGGAGTGTTGTCTTAATTTCTCTTTCAGATTTTTCATCATTAGTGTATAGGAATGCAAGAGATTTCTGTGCATTAATTTTGTATCCTGCTACTTTACCAAATTCAATGAGTAGCTCTAGTAGTTTTCTGGTAGCATCTTTAGGATTCTGTATGTACAGTATCATGTCATCTGCAAATAGTGACAGTTTTACTTCTTCTTTTCCTATTTGTATTCCTTTTATTTCTTTTTCTTCTCTGATTGCCTTGGCTAGGACTTCCAAAACTCTGTTGAATTATAGTGGTGAGAGTGGACATCATTGTCTTGTTCCTGATCTTAGAGGAAATGCTTTCAGAAATTCACCATTGAGAATGTTGTTTGCTGTGGGTTTGTTGTACATGGCCTTTATTATGTTGAGGTAGGTTCCCTCTTTGCCAACTTTCTGGAGAGTTTGTATCATAAATGGGTGTTGAATTTTGTCAAAAGCTTTTTCTGCATCTATTGAGATGATCATATGGTTTTTATTCAATTTGTTAATATGTATTGCATTGATTGATTTGCATATATTGAAGAATCCTTGCATCCCTGGGATAAATCCCACTTGATCATGGTGTATGATCCTTTTAATGTGTTGGGTTCTGTTTGCTAGTATTTTGTTGAGGATTTTTTCATCTATATTCATCAGTAACATTGGTCTGTAATTTTCTTTTTTGGTAGTATCTTTGTCTGGTTTTGGTATCAGGGTGATGGTGGCCTCATAGAATGAGTTTGGGAGTTTTCCTTCCTCTGCATTTTTTTGGAAGTGTTTGAGAAAGTTGGGTGTTAGCTGTTCTCTAAATGTTTGATAGAATTCACCTGTAAAGCCATCTAGTACTGGACTTTTGTTTGTTGGAAGATTTTTAATCACAGTTTCAATTTCTTTTTTTTAAAAATCTCATTCTAAATTTAATCAGTAGGAAAAATATGCAATAACAAAGAATATTTTTTCTTTTTTTCCCACAACTCACACACACACACACACACACACACACACTGTATTTTATTTTTACAAGAGATAAACTGACACCAAGCATTGTAAATGGATGACCACAACAAAAGCAACAATGATTGCAATTACCGAACACAAAATACACTCATACTATGTCATAATATTGACATTCAGTCCAGTAATCCTCCACTGTAACAGCTCCTTTACTTTGCAGTGAAAATTGATTTGTGTATTTTTTGCCTCTGAGTCCTTGTGGGATTTTTTTTTTATTCAAAGAGAAAGTCACAAAAATTATAATCATCCTCATCAGTTCACTCAGTCCCATGTAATTAATTTTCTTTTATCTTGATCTTTTGTTAGCACTTTTATGAGTTCATCAGTTTTCCATTAGAGTTCTGAAAATGCTTATTTATTCAGCTCAGCAGTACAGTCAGTTACCAGAAACCTGTTCTTGTCAGAGTCTTTTCCATAAATTCCTTGAAGATGAGACCCTGTTATGGGAACATTTTTGTAAAAGCAACAGAGTACACCCAGAAGTGTCTGTAAATGACAGAAGACTTAAACATGACCACAGTTAAAGATTTGATGAAAATTCATAATAATGCAATTGACAAGGAAATTTAGTTATTTCTGAGATATACATTTTAAAGTACTAACTAGAATTATGATTTATAACATTATACCAGAATATATAAGATTTTTAGAAGTTTCATGTAATGTCTGAAACATTTATGTTAACATATTTCCATACAAATAACCCAAAGAAAGTTTGGTAT